CTAAATGTTGTTTTGGCGCAGTCCAATGGTTTGACCCGAATCTGATGGTAACCTCCCCGTAAATCTATTTTCGAAAAGACTCGTGCTGTTCGCAGCTGGTCGATCAGTTCGTCGGCGCGGGGGATGGGGGATCGCGATTTGACTGTTACCCTGTTAAGCGCTCGGTAGTGGATGCACATGCGGAGCCCTCCGTCTTTTTTCGGTGTGAACAGTATCGGTGCGGCAAACGGTGACGAGCTCGGTCGGATAAACTGCTTCTCTAACAGGTAATCTAACTGCTTCCTTAACTCGTCGAGTTCGGGCTGTGTCAGTCGAAATTGCCGCTGTACAGCTGGCTGTGCCCCCGGTTCTAACTCGATCCTATGGTCGTGCGCCCGCTGAGGTGGCAGTCCCTGTGGTAAATCATCCGGAAATATCCCCAGGAACCGTTTCAGTAGTGCCTGTAGTTCGGCCGGTACAGCTGCCAGCAGTTTCTCCAAATCACCCGGCTGCTCATCTTCTTCTACGAGTGCGATATCCACTGCGTACACGTCAGCTCCAGCAGCGACAGCCCGTTTCATCGTGATAGCGTTGACTTGGACCGTCGAAGATTCGAGTGGCTGCCAGCGAGGTAGAACGACCCAGTTACCACTACTCCGTACTGTGCAGCTCCCCGTCGTCCAGTCGATCCGTGGGTTGTACCGTCCCAGCCAATCACGTCCCAATAAAATGTCGTGCCCATCCAGTGTCGTCGCGAGCATTTCCTGTGTAAACCCGAAGTTCCCCCCGCAGCGGACTTTTACGCGCTCCACCTTTTCCCGTATGGCCAGGGGCGTGCCGTCGACTAAGCGTGCATCTATCTCAGGTAAACATCGGTTAAGCGTTAACTGTAATTTTCAGAGCCCTCCGTCTTTTTTCGGTGTGAACAGTATCGGTGCGGGGAACGGTGACGAGCTCGGTCGGATAAACTGCTTCTCTAACAGGTAATCTAACTGCTTCCTTAACTCGTCGAGTTCGGGCTGTGTCAGTCGAAATTGCCGCTGTACAGTTGGCTGTGCCCCCGGTTCTAACTCGATCCTATGGTCGTGCGCCCGCTGAGGTGGCAGTCCCTGTAGTAAATCATCCGGAAATATCCCCGGGAACCGTTTCAGTAGTGCCTGTAGTTCGGCCGGTACAGCTGCCAGCAGTTTCTCCAAATCACCCGGCTGCTCATCTTTTTCTACGAGTGTGATATCCACTGCGTACACGTCAGCTCCAGCAGCGACAGCCCGTTTCATCGTGATAGCGTTGACTTGGACCGTCGAAGATTCGAGTGGCTGCCAGCGAGGTAGAACGACCCAGTTACCACTACTCCGTACTGTGCAGCTCCCCGTCGTCCAGTCGATCCGTGGGTTGTACCGTCGCAGCCAATCACGTCCCAATAAAATGTCGTGCCCATCCAGTGTCGTCGCGAGCATTTCCTGTGTAAACCCGAAGTTCCCCCCGCAGCGGACTTTTACGCGCTCCACCTTTTCCCGTATGGCCAGGGGCGTGCCGTCGACTAAGCATGCATCTATCTCAGGTAAACATCGGTTAAGCGTTAACTGTAATTTTTGTGCGGTTGCGGTATTAACTAAGCTGTGGCTTGCTCCTCCGTCAATGAAGATCTTCACTGGTGCTCCCTGTATTTTCCCGTAGATCAGTACCGGGCAATCCGTCGCTGTACCCTCCTTATTCATCCGAGCCCGATCGATGGCGTGAATCGGTACTGTGACTCGGTGAGGGTCGGTGTGGTTGGGCGAGCAGGCAGTCTCGTCAGTAGTTGGCCCAATTTCTACTGACTGCTGGCGTTTCCCTGCCTCTTAGACTCCCTCCCCTGCTCTGCTCCTCGACGCCTCAGCTCCTCTGGACATTCGCTCTTGCGATGGCCCGGCCGGTTGCAAGCAAAGCAGCGCCCTCTAAACGGCGCGGCAGCTGCATTCGCTGCGACGGCATGTACAGTGGCGTGCTCGGTCGGTCCCCGAGGACGATGTCCGTAATAGGACCCCGGTCTTGGTCGGCGTAGGATATCGATTTTCTCGGCGAGCGCGAGGATCTCGTTGAAATTCGAGAGCCCGCGTAGCATTATCTCGTGCGAGATGCCCGGCTTCAGCCCTCCGACATAACGGTCCACCCGCTCCGCCTCGTGCATGTAGCCGACCTGTTCGCAAAGTGCGAGGAACCCGCTGGTGTAGTCTTGAACTGACCTGAGCTGGCGCCAAGTGCGCAGTTTCTGACGCGCCGAAATCGAGGCCGCGATCGGCTCAAAGCGCGCCCGAAGCCCTGCGCACCACGCATCCCACGTGCTGTATTGAGCGGTTTCGCAGAACGAACTCCAGGTAACAGCTGGACCCGAGGGCCCTTCCTCGTGCGATGGTGGCTCGTAGGCGCGCGGCGACGTCACAATGACTCGCCACCAGTCCATGGCGGGGCCCCTGAGTAGTGAAACCGCATACCGGATCTTGGCGGCGTCCGACTCGACGTAGTTGGCGTCGAAAAACACATTCATCGTGAAGACCCACGATTGAACTGTCGGGCCGCCGCGTTGGCTTGGGTCGAAGCAGGGTGGGCGTTGCGGCTTGAGTGGCATTGGGGCCATCACGGCGTTCTCGCCACTTGTCGCCGCAAACTCCACGTGCCGACGGGCTTCTCGGGGCTCCCGTGGGCTTAATGCGCTCCTGTTCCCTCCCATGCTGGGCATCGGTTGGGCTGCGCCGTCACTGGCTGCGCCTGAGCGCTGTCCCGTGCTGTTGTGTTGCGTTGGTGTGCCGGATGAGATGACGATGGGCTCCTCCGAATGTGCAGATGCATTGGTTGGTGCATGTGATGTCGTCGGTACGTTCACCGTTGACTGTTAACGGGCGGAGTCACGTTCCGCCGTGAGAGTCGCGATTTCGAGCGCCGAATCCTCCAATTGATGCACGAGACGATCGAGTTGCTCCTGCGTCAACGTGGCGAGATTGAAATCGGCCATGGCGGGGGTGTCGGGCAAGCTCAGCGAGAGCCTCGGTCGTGGCCGTGCGTGCTTTCGAGAGAGCACTACGAGCGGCGGTGCTGTGTCGCTGAGAGACGTCTACCCCCCCCAAAAATTGAGATAGTGGGAAGTGAAGGTGCGGGTGCGGTCCGAGAGGAGATCGTAGGCTCTGAATACCAAGTGTTACGAGTGCAATTGAGTGAACGAACGAGAATTGCACTATCGAAGCAAGAATACAATGAGCGAAGGCATGAGCGAACATTATATAGCGAAACTATAGTGGTAACGGTAATGGTCGCGCGACGAGCCTGGGACTGAGGTTGGGAAAGTGTCGAAGCGTAGGCCCGGAGCGCGGGTTACCAGCCGAGCCGTGAGGTCGGGATGCGATGTGCGAAAAGGGCGGGATGATGAATGATGCGATGGTCGCGAGTGGTAACGGTGCTGACTGAGGTGCTACAGTGATGTACGCGTTGAGCAGGGACGCGAAGTAAGGAAAAGGGAATTTCCTTACAATTTACGATAAAATATGTTCACACATTTATGTTGTTCATAACATGAACAACAATATCCATACCACAATGAAAAATAAACACTTTTAACCAACTATTACATAGAGAAGTAACACCTACTAAACAATCTAAACGCCCGCGTGGATACGATATTCATTTTCAAAACCTCTAAATCTGCAAAATTAGATTATCCCGCGGTGTTACTTACACAAATATATTAAACGCACCACAAATATGACCACTTGTTGTTACAACCAGTTGGTGACTGTATTGCGCGATCTTCAATCCGCTGCCACCAATCCTACCAGCCGAGCCTGCGTAGTTGACATCAAACACCCAGAATCACGCACAACACTTCACATCTCACGCAATACCCTAAGGGCGCTTCACCTGTCGGTTCGAACAACACACTCGTTCGAACAGGCGAAACGTTACTCGTTTCGCCTATGTTCGTAGTGGTGATCGTGACATCGCGAAGCACAATTTCGCCAATTTGAACAGAGCTGTCACCTCAAGCACGATTTTCATCATCCCGCACGTTCGAACACGTTTGTTCGAACAGGATGGGATAGGTGACACACAATTCCGCACAAACGACTGATATGATTGGTCCACAGTCTTCCGAGTCGCCCATGAACGTTTGCGACCCGGCCAGACGTCGCCATGAACGAGAATGTGCTCGCACGTTCAGCACGAATCGCATGCCTCTTGCCCAAAGGCCAATTCGTGTTGCCAATTCAACCCACCAATACAAATGGAGCCCACTCAATGCCCAACCAACCAAACTCGCCCAGCATGGCAAACGATTCACCTAGAACAGAGTAGTGAATCCGTGAAACAACCAGGTGAGCAGGAGTAGCGCAGCTGGAGACATTGTGACAGGAACCAAGAAATTGAAATGAAGTGCATGCGATTGGCTCGTGGCTGGCTGTATTTCTAGCAATCCAGTTGGCTCCGCATTTGGTGGTCGCAGCGCTCGAGAAAACACACAAGCGAGGGACCCAATGTTTGGCGACGTCGCTCTTTTGTGGGCGACGTCGCTGTGTTCAAACAGACCGCGTGTGCGAATAGCGATGGCGTCACCTGTGATGGCCTGTGTCACATTCGCTCATTGTACGTATTTGTGTTCGAACTCATTTGGGACACTGTTCATACAGTCAAACTGATACGTCGGTTCGGATTTTGGCCTTCCGCCCCTCAGGTGAAGCGCCCTAACAACACTCCCACGAATCATGCGAGCAACAATCTCGCATGATTCCCAACCCTTGGAAGACGAGGAAGAAACAAACAAGATTCGCGCAGGTCACAATCCGCTCCACCCTATTTTGCGATGACTTCCGGAGTCTATTGAGCAGCTTACCGCTCTGAACCGATTTGTCTTGAGTGGCTCGTTGTCGCAGCTGCCAGCTTCTTTCACCGAGCTTTCTTCTATCTCCGTCCTGGAGTTTCTACATTGCATGATTACTCCACCGCTGCACAGCAATCTCGGTCAACTGGGGGCACTCGAAACCCTCACTTTGATGGAAGTGAGGAGAATGGGCGACTGGGTTGCTGATCTGGATCATTTTCAGCGGCTCAAGACTCTAACCATCAAGCGCTGCAGTGATATCACGTCTCTGCCCCTGACTCTTCCCCACCTGCCTGCGCTCACCGAACTCAACCTGCACATGGGAGAAATCGCAGTGCTGTCCGAAGAATTCGGGCAGTTGTCAGTGCTTCGGTCACTCGTGCTGGATATGAGGAGCCTCACAGCCTTACCCGAATCCATCGCCCTGATTACAACTCTTCAAGAGCTTTCGCTTCATCATCTTCGGAATCTGACATATCTGCCCCAGGAGTTTGGGCAGCTGGTTTCTTTGGAGAAGCTTTTCACGAAAGACCTTCAGCTGCTCACACATCTGCCCAAGTCATTCGGGCAGTTTAAAGCTCTCCGTGAGCTGAGATTTCTGGAATGTAGTCAGTTGCAGCAGCTCCCGAACTCCATATCCCAACTGTCTTCTCTCGAGCTCCTGGAATTCAGCAATTGCCCGCTCCTCATGGGGCTGCCAGTCGACATGGGAAACGGCATGCGCTCCTTGCGCCATGTGCTGCTACTAGACTGCCCAGCTCTCACCCGCCTCCCTCCATCCTTCTCTAGCCTCACGTCTCTAGAAACCCTCAAGATTTTAAACGCGAAACGCTTCAGAGGCCCACTGCTAGATGGCTTTGGCAGCTTGAAACGCCTCAAGGAGCTGTCACTCGACCCCCTGCCACGCCTATCCGCCCTTCCGGCTTCCTTCTACGGCGCCCATGCCCCCACCCGCCTCGAAGTCGGCAATTGCCCTTATGTGACGGTCCTGCCAGAGGAAATCGGACGGCTGAGGGCGCTCGAGGAGGTCAGGATCTTTGCGATGGACGCTCTGAGATGCCTCCCTTCGTCGCTTCTTGAGCTGCCTTGTCTGCAATCGCTGGACGTGCGGGCGTGCGGTGCGCTGCGTGCAGTGCTGGGGGATGAGGAGGTGTACATACGTACTGCCAGAGGCTTTATGATCAGCACGAGCAGCAGCCGCGCATTGCTTCCTTCCCTTGAGAGCCTCACGATGAAGGAGCTTAGTGTTGAGTCCTTTGGTCCATCCCTCGATCGTCTCTCCGCTTTGACGCAACTGAAGCTCATGGAAATGGACAGACTCGATTTCCTCCCTGACTCCATCTCTCGCCTCTCGCAACTGCAAAGGCTCAAGGTTCATTCAGCACTACCCGAGACCTTTGGGGGGCTTGCAGGGCTGCGTGTGCTGCAGCTGGTCTACCTCTACTCAGTGCGCCAGCTGCCCGAGTCTCTCGGGCAGTTGAAGAAGCTCGAGACACTGGATATTATTGAATGCTTCGAACTGAGGCAGCTTCCAAAGTCATTCGTGAATCTACCCAAGCTGCAATCCTGCTCTCTTGTCAAGGTTGGGATTTTAACCATTCCCGATGACATCTGGAAGCTTTCTTCCCTCAAGAAGTTGCTGATCCTGGGACTGACGTGGGTGCAAAGCTTGCCAGATTCGTTCACTCGGCTGCCTAAGCTTGCGGAGCTGGAGGTGTGCGCGTGCAAGGAGCTGGTGCGTGAAAATGCCGCCGTCTCTTCAGAAAATGCCGACGCTGCGTGTGTGCAGCATCCGTGAATGCCCTTTGCTGTCGCAGCGAGCCACGAGAGGGGTACCTGCAAGGAGAGAGGGGGGAGAGGGAGAGGAGGGGGGGGGGGAGAGGTGGGGGAGGGAGAGGAGGGGGAGGGAGAGGAGGGGGGGGGAGAGGTGGGGGAGGAAGGGGAGTTTGAAGAGGAAGAGGGGGAGAAGGGAGGTGATGTGGCGGTGGAAATGGAAGAGGCGGACGGGGAGGAGATGGAGGAAGAGGAGAGTGGTAGTGATGATGAGGATATTGATCATGAACTTGGCTTGGACAGTGACTTTGATGACTACAGTGAAGGCTGGGGGGAGAGTTGTTATGATGACGATGAGTAGTAGGATGAGTCAGATTGTGAAATTGGTGCGGAGTGCTGGAAGAGTGGGATTAGAAAATCATGTGTTACCAATAGGCTGTCTTGTTAGAGCGTGTTCCTACGGCCTCATATCAGGAAACCTCGTATCAAGAATGCTGTTTTTGCCTGGTAAAACTAGCGAGAGGTTTCGGGTTTAGGGAAATTTTCTGTGTGAGCCTGATACGAGGTTATCTTGATATGAGGATAGGAACACGCTCTTATTGTCTATGGGGAGGTGACGTGATGCAATGTGTGAAGTGGGCTTGGTAGGTAGTAGGTGGCACTGCTTAGCAGATACTGTATGTACACGTCAAACTATATATGTGTTAGTTCTGTGTAGGCTATAGTGGGGTAGCCCATATGGGCTACAACCCGAAGTTAGGGTTAGTACTTGTACCCACATTTCATTCAATGCAACCATTTCTGCTTGCTATCTTGACATGGTATTAGAGCAGTAGGTGCGTAGGACCGTTTTTTTTTTTGGCCCACTATACTTAGCTTCCGAGTGCAGTTACCGCGTTACCCCACTACCATGCGTCGCGCTGCCCCACGCACGCCCTGCCTTGCCCCACGTCGCGCTGCCTAGCGCACGCCCTGCCCTGCCCTGCCTGGCGTCACACTGCGCCAGCACCCTGCCCTGCGCCAGCGCCCTGCCCTACGCCGGCGCCCTGCCCTGTGCCAGCGCCCTGCCCTGCGCCGGCGCCCTGCCCTGTGCCACCGCCCTGCCCTGCGCTAGCGCCCTGCCCTGCGCCAGCGCCTTGCCCTGCGCCAGGGCCCTGCCCTGCGCCAGCGCCCAGCCCTGCGCCGGTGCCCTGCCCTGCACCAGCGCCCTACCCTGCGCCAGCGCCCTGCCCTGCGCCAGCGCCCTGCCCTGCGCCAGTGCCCTGCCCTGCGCCAGTGCCCTGCCCTGTGCCTGCGCCCTGCCCTACACCCTAAGGCAGCCCGTCGCGTTGCGCTCTGCTGCCCCTCGCATCACGCACTGCTGCAGCCTACGCCAGCGCCCTGCCCTGGGCGAGCGCCGTGCCCTGCGCGCGCTGGCGCCCTGCCCTGCGCCAGTACCCTGCCCTGCGCACGCGCCCTGATCTGCGCCAGCGCCCTGCCCTGCGCCAGCGCCCTGCTAAACCCTAAATAAAATTGAAATTAAAAAATAAAAAAGGCCCTAGGTGCTTCTGCCCTAGGAGCTATTACCTGCTACTACCCTGCTGTGGCCGCGCGCCGCCCTGCTCTGGCCGCGCGCCGCCCTGCTGCTCTTACTGCTGCTGCTGCTTCTCGTGCTAGTGCCTTCACTCCGTACTGCCCTAGAGGTCGCGCTCCTCCTAGCTTGCCCGCCATGACTTCCCTTTGTGGTACCGGTGAGAGTGGTGACGGCGGTGGTGGCAACAGTGGGAGTGGTGGCGGCCGTAGTAGCAGTCACTGTGGCGTTGTTTGGTGCGGAGTGTCTGGTGGTGGCCAGATGCAGCTACGGCGGCGTCCGACCCTTACGCCCCGGCAGCTTCGTGAGTGGCTTTACCAGCGTGGGCCGTCTCCGAGTCCGGGTCACTGCCCGTACGTTATTCGCACAGGTCGTCGAGCTGGTGAGACCTGTGGGACATCTGGTCATGCACAGTCTCGCTGCTTCGCCTATTTGACTAACGCCTGGCGCACTGAGTTTGGCGACGAGGCTGAGATCCCCCCCTGGCTTGAGCTGCTTAGGTCGGGCATTGCTGTCTTTGCTTTAGACTATGACGCCATCCTTATTGCCATGTCTGCTTTGCCGGGTGGTGCTGAGTGTGACTGTCACCTGTGCGTGCAGTACGACCCCGGTATAGAGGTTGCTGCTCTAGGTGCTAGTGAGGCTGCTGCCTTAGGTGCTAGCGAGTCTGCTTCCTCAGGTACTGCGCCTGCTGAGGCCTTGCACACCTTCACGCTTGACTCAGGTGCTTCCCGCTGTATCTTTCGTGACAGTTCGGCACTCACACCACTCACTGCACTTGTTGTAGTCTCTCTGGCTGACCCCTCAAGGGGCCCAGTTCTTGCACGGTCCACCACTGTGCTTCCGTGCTCGACGGTTCCGTCTGGCTCACTGACACGCTTCCACCTCCCCTCGTTCTCTACAAACTTGGTGAGCAACGCAGTTCTCCAGGACCAGTGGGTTGACACCTTTACCCCTGGAAGACAACGTGTGGCGATCTGTACGTGCTCCCGGACTGGCCGCCACCTGGCCACGTTTACCCGTCGGGCAGGGTCGAGTCTTTACACACTGACGACTGCGCCTCCTCAGGTAGCTGCTACTGGTCAGGTGTCTGCGTCCGGTCAGGTAGCCTCCCCTTGTGAGTGTCGCTCCCTGTCGCACCAGACTCTTCTCTAGCACCACCGTCTTGGTCACCCCTCCTTGCCACGTCTACGTGGCATGCACCGTTGCCTCCTTGTGTCTGGTCTTCCCAGGTCCCTCCCTCCCCTCCTTGCCTCGCCTACGCCGCCCTGCCTTCTTTGCGTCGAGGGGCGGCAGCGCGCCGCTCCTCTCTCCTCTTTGTTTCCCCCGACAGAGGCTCCTATGCAGACCCTCCACCTGGACGTGTGGGGCCCAGCCCGCGTTTGTGGACAGGGTGGTGAGCGGTACTTTCTGCTGGTTGTCGACGACTACTCGCAGTACACCACAGTCTTCCTCTTGCGCACCAAGGGTGGGCTGTCCTGATCCCTTGGATCCGAGCAGTTCGTCTCCGGCTCCGCCGTAGGTTCCGCCAGGACCTTCCTGTCCTGCGTTTGCACTCTGACAGAGGTGGTGAGTTCACCTCCGACCTCTTGCAGGCCTTCTCTCAGGGGGAGGGCATCGAGCAGTCGTTCACGCTTCTGGGCTCACCACAGCAAAATGGGGTTGCTGGGTGCCGCATTGGCTTAGTCAGGGAGGTCGCTCGTACCTCCTTGATTCATGTGGCGGCTCCCTATTGTCAGTGGCCGTTTGCGGTCCGGTACACCGCGCAGCAGCTCAACCTCTGGCCCCGTGTCTCCTTGCCGGAGACCTCGCCCACACTGCGTTGGATGGGGGAGGTTGGCGATGCGTCGCGTTTCCGGGTCTGGGGTGCTCGTGCCCTTGTCCGCGATACGTCTGCGGACAAGTTCTCCTCCCGCACCATTCCCTGTATCTTCCTTGGCTTTGTCCCTGACACGTCTGGCTGGCAGTTTTACCACCCCACCTCGCGCCGTGTCTTCCCCTCTCAAGACATCACCTTTGACGAGTCGGTTCCTTTCTACCGTCTCTTCCCCTACCGCACTACCCCTCTCCCTCCCCCGCCGCTTTTCCTCGCTCCAGGTCCCCCTCCAGTAGAACCCCTCCCCCCTCAGTGTCCTGCTCCTTTAGGTGTGTCTCAAGTAGACCCGCCCCCCTTTGCTGAGCCTGCTGCTGCGTAGTCTGGGGGTGCTGAGCCCGTCCGTGAGGTGCCGGGGGGTGCGGAGCCTGGGGGTGCTGAGTCTTCTGGCGTTCCTTAGGGTCTAGTTTCACGATGCGGGCCTGTCTCACCACAGCAGGCACAAGATTGGCTTGCGTCGCGTACCCGCGTGAGGAGTCGTGCTGCTGGAGCTGCTTGTCGTGGAGGCGCTGGGAGTGCTGGTGTCTCTGGTCCTGGAGGTGCTTGTACTGGAGGCACTGGAGCTACCGGGACTAGTGCTGCTCCTGGAGCTGGAGGTGTCCGTTCCGGGGGTGCTGCTGCTGGAGGACCTAGGGCTGGAGGCCCTGAAGCTGGTGCTGTCGACCCTGGAGTTAGAGACCCTAGAGCTGGAGGTGCCGGTTCTGGGGGTGCTGCGGCTGGAGGTACTAGGGCTGGAGGTCCTGGAGCTGGTGTTGTCGACCCTGGAGCTGGGGGTGCTGAGTCTGCTAGCGATCCTCTAGGTCTCGTTTCACGACGCAGGCCTATCTCACTACAGCAGGCACAAGAGTGGCTTGCGTCGCGTACCCGCCTGAGGAGTCGTGCTGCTGGAGCTGCTAATCGTGGAGGCGCTGGGAGTGCTGGTGTTGTGAAATCAAAGAACGAGAATGAATGACTATGAAGTGAAGTGAATACAAATAGGAAACCCTAATTGTGTTGTACCCCCTATGCGATACCCCACTATAGCCTACAGAAACAAGTAAGCTATATGTTCTGACACACCCCCATAGGCAAAGTGGGGGAGAACAAGGGGTCACAAGACCAGTCAAGCAAAGCAAAGCAAAGCTCAGGGTGGATCACAAAGTCACCACGCATTCCGAGCACAAGTTCAAAGGCCAGAAGGCCAGTTCACATGCAAGATCATATATAGAGATATACAAGAGTCAAGCAAGCAAGAGCAAGAGTATATATAGGCGAAGGTACAAGCAAGGTCAAGAGGAGAGCAAGTGAGGCAAGACAGGCACAAGACCCAACTGCGTGCAACAACGCTGATGATCACAAGGCGCAAGTGCCTTGGTGAAGACATCAGCAATGTTGGCCTCAGAGGCCACGTACGCAAGTCGCAACTGTCCACGCTGCTGTAGCTCACGAGCAAGAAAGTAGCGGAGAGCAATGTGCTTCGTTCTGTGCTCCAGTCGCTGCTCTCGACACAAGGCCAGCATGGCCTTGTTGTCTACGTACGAGACTGGAGGAGAACGAGGCTGCTCTCCAAGGTCGGTCAGCAGGTAGGTGAGCCAGCGTAACTCCTGTGCAGCCATAGCCCCAGCGTAGATCTCAGCCTCACAACTCGAGCCGAGAACAGAAGACGAGCGGGTAGCCCGCCACGAGACAGAGCCGGAACCAAGGCTGAAGGTGTAACCCTGTGACGACCGCTGCGTAGCCTGGTCGTCAGCCCAAGAAGCGTCTGCGTGCCCAGTGAGGACCACTGGACTGCGCCCTCCAAGCACTAGCCCCATGCCCGACGTACTACACAAGTAGCGCAACACCCTCTTCGCTGCAGCCATGTGCTCTGGTCGGTGTCTCCCAGGAGCAACAAAGCGTGCGAGAATGCTAAGAGGGTATGCGAGGTCAGGTCGTGTGC